GTGAGCCTTTGTTTCTGAGGAGCTATACACCACGTCTGTCTCACCGCCGAACCCTACACCCCTGTCTTGATAGCAACAGTAAACCCTAGAGGGTTTGAGGGTTTAGGGTTTAGGGTTTAGGGTTTGTAGCAGTTACACCGAGGGTTTATGTTCTCCTTGCGAGGCGCAACATCTCCTTGTGTTGAGGTATTTAGTTTTTCCCTGGCTAGCTAGCTAGCTGTCTACCTAGCTGGTTATCTAGCTAGCCATCAACCTAGCTAGCTAGCTAACCATCAATCTAGCTAGCTAGCTAGCTAGCTAGATTGATGGATGCATTGGCTAGCTAGACACAGGAAGGGCTAGCTAGCCAGGCTGGCTAGCTAGCGTATATACAGAGCCACTCCTAGCTGCCTACTTCGAGGCTAGCTAGCTAGCTAGCTGGCTAGCTAGCTAGCTAGCTAGCTAGCTAGCTGGCTAGCTGGTTAAGACAAAACTGGAAGCTTAAGCCGTAAACCGTAAACCCTAAACCCTAAGTCGTAAACCCTAAACCCTAGACTGGAGGCACAGCCAGTCGTTAACGCTAAACCCTAAACCCTAATCATCCACTCATAAGCCCTAAACCCTAAACCCTAAACCCTACTCAGTCTTCCCTAAACCCTAAACCCCAGACCCTGGTTAGAGTTGCAGATGAGACAATTAAGAGGAGAAAACAGAAAACACAAAACGAAAAAACCAATAGTTTGTTGGCTTTGTAAGCAGCTGGAATTTGGGGTGTATATACACCTCAACGCATGCATACAAACGAGGGTTTAGGGTTTGCCGCACAGTGCAGAAGAAAACCCTAAACCCTAAACCCTAAACCCTTGTGTATATATTGTAGAACACCTAAACCCTAAACCCTAAACCCTCGGCATCATGAGATATCGTTAGGATCCTCTTTTGGATTTGAGTTGAGGGTTTAGGGTTTAGGGTTTAGGGTTTATTAGTGTTGATGGGGTTTATTATTATTATTATTATTATTTCTTTGTTTTAATAAAGAACGAAGGAAAAGAAGACCCCAATAGAAATTGAGAAAAACCCAAAAACAGCAAGAAATATAAAAAGATATTCGTCTGGTTTGTGTTGCTGCTGAGGTGTACATACACCCCAACCACCACTCAACTATAACATGAGGTAATATAATAAACGGCATAAATATAATTCTATATAATATAAATATTATTGCTGCACTGTAGTGAAATATATAAAATAAAAAAGATATATTCTTCTCGTTCTGTATATAAAACCAACGCAAATGCAACAGCGGCGTAGACACCTCACTCAAACACATCAGTGCAGATACACCTGAATATAAAAAAAAAAAAAAAAAAAAAAAA